CCGGTCCGACATCTGCAGCCCGCGTCCGCAGCGCCTCTGCAGCCTGCCGCAAGTGGCTCCGGAAAGAGCCGAAGGCCCAGCGCGCCGGGAAGAGCCGAGCGGAGCCCGCGGGCCGGAAGGGGCAGCGCGTCGGCCCCCGAGCGGTCGCGAGAGCTCTTGCTAGCGGAGGCCTGCGACGCGGGCTCGGGGAGGGTTACTGCGTGCTTATGATCGCAGGTTTTTAAAGTCAGTGCTTGAAAGAAAACCTGGGGAAGATTCAGTGAGACCCGGCCGGAAGTCGTGGTATCCATAGACACGCTATCGGAAATTGGGGTTGCTAGGAGGCCTGGGCGTGTCGGCTAGTCTGCGTCACGGCTGAAGTCCCAGAAGGATACGATTCCGGCCCCGGTGAAGATGAAGACCTGCAGCCTGAGAGACCAAAAGTTCAGTCTCTTAAGGTGACTGAAGATGTCGAACCAGGCAGCATGGCAGAGGCAGGGCCGGAGCTGCCTGTAGAGACTGACCAAGAGCCACAATCAGAGACGGAAGAAGAGGGCTTCCAAGAGGAGACACCAGCGAGTGCTAAGAATATACACCTACGTCTGAAACCCACCTGGACGTCCGAGGAAGAGGCTCCCCACAAGTCCAAGACAGACCTTTCTAGCGAGATTGAGCTAGGGATTCCCAAAGAGGTAAAGTCGGAGACATCCAGACAGATAAAAGTAGAGCTTTTCAAGGATTTGGAGGTCCCTGTGGACGAAAAGCGTGGGGAGCCAGAGGAGGAAGCCAAACCAGATGTCGCAGAGGATATACGCATAGAGGCAGCTAAGGAAACAGATCTAGAGCTACGAAAGGAAACCGAGTCTGAGGCTCCAGGGGCCACAATCAGTGAGACAAGATTAGAGTTACTAGAGGGGACGAAACCAGAGGTTTGGGAGGAGTCACTTAGAGAGCAATATGGAAAGACAAGTCTGGAACCTACAGAGCCGACCAAACCGGAATTTCCAAGTGAGAAACCAAGAAGATCAATTGAAGAGGCAGATCTGCAGCCACCAAAGATGACCACACCAGAGATTCCAGAGGAGACACAAAGTAAGTCACCTGAGGAGAAAAGGACAGGGCCACCTGAGCAGGCCATACCAGAGTTTTCAGAAGAGAAACCAAGTATGTCTACTGAGGAAACACAAAGAAAGTCAACTGAAGAGAAAATTCCAGAACCACTAGAAGAGATTGAATCAGAGTTTTCTGAGGAAAAATCAAGAAAACCAATTGAGGAAACAGTTCTAGAGCCATCAGGAAAGACCAAACCAGAAGTTCAAGAGGAGACACAAAGAAAGTCAACTGCAGAGAAAGTTCTAGAGCCACCAGAGGACACCAAACCCCCAGATCAAAAAGATAAGCAGAAAAAATCAACTGAGGAGACAGGTCTAGCACCATCACAGAAGTCCAGATCAGAGGAGACACTAAGAGAGTCAACTGAGGAGAAAGTTCCAGAGCCACCAGAACAGAGTAAACCAGAGTTTCCAAAGAAAGAACCGAGAAAGTCAACTGAAGAAACTGGTCAGGTGCCACCACAGAAGATCATACCAGAGGTGCAAGAGAAGACACAAACAGAGCCAACTAAGAAGATAGATTCAGAGTTACCATATAAAGCCAAACCACTACTTAGAATAGAGACACGTGTAGAATTTGCCAAGGAAGATAGGCCAGAACCAATCAGACTTAAGCGTTCTGTAGACAGGGATGAGCCAGAGTACTCTGACTATCAAACAAGAAAGTTGTTAGTAAAAGAAACTAAAGATGTTTCAAAAGACTCTGTGTTAGATTCTCTTCCAATAAGTGAAGTAGACTCAGTGAATACAGATTATGAGTTTTCTAAAAAGCTCCAAAATCTGTTTCAGCTTTCTGATACCAATTATGAATTCTACTCATATTACTCTGAGTCTCAGAGGGATTTAAAAGAGTCCTCTAATGAAAAGAAAGGTCTGTCCCCAGAGTCAATGACACTGGTACCTAAAGATAAAGAAACCCAGCCAAAAAAAAGTACTGACCTACAATTTGAGTATCTTGAATGGAGCCCAGAGAAAGTTGCAGAGTGGATTTGCCAGCTAGGCTTCCCTCAATACAAGGTATACAAAAATAACATTTCTTGAAATTGTATACTCTCATTCCTTTACCTCTTATTCCTCTATCCTTACCTGAGCTTTTGCATCTTCACTAGAAGGAGTGTAGAAGAGGCATGGACTATGGTAGAGGTAACTTGGATTTTAATTTTGACCTTTCCACTGTTACACACATATTTGTATATTGGGAGAGGAAGGAAAGGTCACGTTTGTTTTTCCTGTTCATCACAGTGATTATACTTCTCTGCAATCCTTTGCATAAAGACTAAGAATTTTATGTAGGTTTCTTTTCATAGAAATCTGTATTTCTAAAAAGATTTCATCCAAGGTAGACTTTTTGGTACGTTGTTAGGTTGTTTTAGTAGCAACTCCCTTAACTTGAACTTGTACTATTAATCTTAGTGTCTGCCCCAAATGTGTTATATGTATCATGATCACCTAACAGTACTAATTTATATAGCCAATTAACCAAGGATAGTTTTCTTTTTTAAATAGGGTGAATCCTATTATTTCGCTGCCGACTATGTTCCACAAACAAAACAAGATCTGAAATCTTTGGTACCACTGTAGTTAAAAATGTAGTTGAGGCAAGAAAGAAGCACAGGTTGTATCGTGCCAAAAAAAACAAAAAATTAAGCAGCAGTGTGAAATTTAATCAAGAGTTTAGATGAAAAATATGTGGGATTATTCAATTTAAATTTTTTCTCAGTACAGAGCTAGAGACAGACATGATTTATTTATTCCTCCTCCCCTCCCTCCCTCTTTCCTTCCTTCCCACCTCCTTTTCTCTTTCTTGCTTTTTTTCTTCCTGTATTTGCCATACATCTTTTGAGTGATCTTCTCATTGTACTGACAGGAGTGTTTTACCACAAACTTCATCAGTGGCCGAAAACTCATCCACGTAAACTGCTCAAACCTCCCTCAGATGGGTGTAACAGATTTCGAGGACATGAAGGTGAGTTGTGTATAGTTTCCCACTAGAGCACTGAAACAGTGCTACCATCTCAAACCATCCTCCTTTTAATCCAACCTGGCCTCCAATTTCTCCCAACAGTGTTATCATACTCCTAGTTTCCCAGGCTCAGAGTGGTTGCTTCCTCTCTTTCCTTTGATCCCCACAAAGATCCCAAGAACTATCAGTTCCTCCTATAGCATCTGGTTTTCTCCATTCCCACTTGTTCAGACCTTTATCAGACCTTTACTAGAATGTACTTAGAATGTTCCAGTAGCCTGCTTTTAGCCTCTGTCTATAGGCCCTTTGGATTCAGGGACCCTGCTTTTAGACTCTCACCTTCCAACTATTTATACAGCGTACTACTCAAAGCTTCTTTGGATCCCCTCTACTTACAAGGTAGTCTCAACTCCTCAGCTTAGGATTCAGGCCCCTCCACAAGTCTTCTCCCACCAGCATTCTCTCGCCTGGTACTCTTCTGCCTGGAATCTTCTGCTTCAGCCTCACAGGTCAGCTCACACCCTCACAAACCTGTCTTGTGCATTCCTTCCTCTACATCTTTGCTCACTTCCCCCCTCCCCCGCAAGACTAATATGAATCGTAACCATCCCTCAGGACCCAACTCAATTCTCATCTCCCCATGAAGTCTTTCCTGATCTTCCCAGCCCACAGTAACCTCTCCTCCAAAGCTGTCGTACATTTTATGTCTCTAACACCTACAGAAGTGACTCACCTTTCCCTTTGTTCTTCCTACAAAATACTAAGATGACAGAGAATGTATAGGTGAGACTGGTGAGGGGTGCAGGAAGAAAGAAACACTTAATTTTTTTCTTTTCTTTTTTCATGGAAAGACCTTTTAAATATAGCAGTGTGTACATATCAATCCCAAACTCCCAATCTACCCCTCCCCTCCCCGCTGGTAACCATAAGTTCGTTCTCTAAGTCTGTGAGTCTGTTTCTGTTTTGTAAATAAGTTCATTGTATCATTTTTTTTAGATTCCACATATAAGCGATATCATATGATATTTGTCTTTGTCTGACTTACTTCACTTAGTATGATAATCTCCAGTTCCATCCATGTTGCTGCAAATGGCATTATTTCATTCTTTTTAATGGCTGAATAATATTCTATTATATGTACCACATCTTTATCTGTTCATCTGTTGATGGACATTTGTCTCCATGTCTTGGCTATTGTAAACAGTGCTGCAATGAACACTGGGGTGCATGTATCCTTTTGAACCATGTTTTTCTCTGGATATATGCCCAAGAGTGGGATTGCTGAATCATATAGTAGCTCTACTTTTAGTTTTTTAAGGAACCACCACACTGTTCTCCATAGTGGCTGCATCAATTTACATTCCCACCAACAGTGTAGGAGGGTTCCCTTTTCTCCACACCCTCGTCAGCATTTATCGTTTGCAGATTTTTTGAAGATGGCCATTCTGGCGGGTGTGGGGTGATACCTCATTGCAGTTTTGATTTGCATTTCTCTAATGATCAGTGATATTGAGCATCCTTTCATGTGTTTGTTGGCAATCTGTATATCTTCTTTGGAGAAATGTCTCTTTAGGTCTTCTGCCCATTTTTTGATTGGGTTGTTTGGTTTTTTGATATTGAGCTACATGAACTATTTGTAAATTTTGGAGACTAATCCTTTGTCAGTCGCATCATTTGCAACTATTTTCTCTCATTCTGTGGGTTGTCTTTTCGTTTTGTTTATGGTTTCTTTTGAGTTTAATTAGGTCCCATTTGTTTTCTATTACTCTGGGATATGGATCGAAAAAGATATTGTTGCAATTTATGTCAAAGTGTGTTCTGCCTATGTTTTCCTCTGTTTTATAATAACCAGTCTTACATTTAGGTCTTTAATCCATTTTGACTTTATTTTTGTGTATGGTGTTAAAGAATGTTCTGATTTCATTTTTTTATGTGTAGCCGTCCAGTTTTCCAGCACCATTTGTTGAAGAGACTATCTTTCCTCCATTTTATATTCTTGCCTCCTTTGTTGTAGATTAATTGGCCATAGGTGCATGGGTTTATTCCTGGGCTTTCTATCCTGTTCCATTGATCTGTATTTCTGTTTTTGTGCCAGTACCATACCGTTTTGATGACTGTAGTTTTGTAGTATAGTCTGAAGTCAGGGAGCCTGATTCCTCCAGCTCTGTTTTTCTTTCCCAAGATTGCTTTGCCTATTCGGGGTCTTTTGTGTCTCCATACAAAGTTTAAGATTTTTTGTTCTAGTTCTGTGAAAGAGAAACACTGATTCTTCTCACCTGGCTAAGGGAGCACTGGAAACCACTATCCTGTCTTTCCCATTTATAGTGATGCACTAGCTTGGTAAAAAGGGGAGAGAAAGTCAATCTTATTTATTCTAGGGACAAGCTAGACAAGATAGCACTTGCTTCAGCTTTCTGTCTTAGAAAATAATTCACAAAATATTTTAAACTATTCACTCCATCAAGTGAACAAAAGAACTCTGTGATAAATATTTGGAGAAGAATATAGATGAATTGCTTATTCCTTTCATATGCATGATTTTATGTTACAAAGTAGAGCCTTATAAGCTTAATAATATCTCAGGAATTTTATTACACCTGCCTTATTGCAAGCTATTTAAATAGCACAAATTCATAACAACATGTCAGCAATCATCACTAAACAAAAATATATTTTTTTAAAATTTTTCAAATGATTTTAGTTTTACAGAACAGTTGCAAAGATAGTACAGAGAGTTCCCATATACTCTTTTAAAAATATATATTTATTTATTTTTTGGCTGCGTCAGTCTCAGTTGCAGCACGTGGGATCTTTCATTGTGGCACGCGGGCTCTGTAGTTGCAGCACTTGGGCTCTCTAGTTGTGGCACATGGGCTTAGTTGCCCCGCGGCATGTGGGATCTTAGTTCACTGACCAGGGATTGCACTGGCGTCCCCTGCATTGCAAGACCAATTCTTAACCACTGGACCACCAGGGAAGTCCCCCATATACTCTTAGCCTAGCTTACCCTAATGTTAACATCTTATGTAACCACTTATCAAACCATTTATATATTTATCAAAACTAAGAAATTAACACCAGCACAGTACTATTAAACAAACTACAGACTTTATTCAGATTTCTGCAATTTTTCCACTGATGTCCTTTTTTCGTTCCAGGATCCAGTTGGGGATACTATCTTGTATTTAGCTGTTATGTTTCCTTGGTCTCCTCCAATATATGACAATTTCTTGATCTTTATCTTTCATGACCTTGACACTTTGAAGAGTAGTGATCAGGTATTGTGTAGATTTCCCTCAGTTTGAGTTTGTCTTATGTTTCCCATGAGATTATGCTTTGCGGGGAGACTATCACAGAGATGATGAGCCCTTCTCATCTAATCATATCAGGGAGTACATGGTATCAATGTGATTTATTACTGGAGATGTTAACTTTGATCATTTGGTCAAGGTGGTGCCTGCAGGTTTCTTCACTACAAAGTTACTGTGTTTCCCTTTTCATATTCTGTTCATTAGAAGTGGGTTACTGAGTCCAGCCCATACTCAAAGAGAGGGGAATTAAGCTCCACCTCGTGGAGGGAAGAGTATCAAAGAGTTTATGGACATAGAGTAAATACCACAGTAATAGATATACTGGGGGAGGTGGTTTGAGGCTATGCAAATTACCTGTTTCTTCTTAAAGTTTTGCCCACTAATTTTAGTATTCATCAGTGTATCTTGCCTGCATCAGTTATTACTATGTTGTTCTAATGATGATTTTGTTTCCTCATTCCTTCCATGTTTAATTGGAACTCTGCTTAAGGAACTCTTCTGTTTAATTGTCCCTTCTTCCCTATTTGGGAACTCTTTCAGTTTGTCTCCTGTGTCCTTTTGACATGTTCCCGTTATTTTATTTTATTTTATTTTAGCATTTTCTGGCACTACACTTTACTTCAGACTCATTTTCTGTTTTCCTTGCTACACCCCTAGAAGCAGGCATGTTTCCAAGGAGCCCTGGTTGCTTTTATTAGAGAATGGTATTTAGAAACTAAGATGTGGTCACTAGTTGTGCTTGTTGCTACTGAGGTGTTAGTGCTTCTAGGCACTCTCAGCAGAAGGATGTAGGAAATATATGTATATATACTAACCCATGTATACACAAATATTTATCTTATTTCTGTAAGCATGTGTTCGTACTGATATCCCTGACTCTAGTCCATCACCACAGGGTTCATACTGGCTTTCATCCTTCCTACTCCCTACCCCACTTTGCTTTTTTATAACTTCTTTCTCTGACAGTGAGAAACCTGGCTCTGCTTATTTATAAATATGTATCCCTATAAGAAACAAATTTACCAAAAGAGTACATTATTTGTGTACGGTTCTTTTTGTCATTAGGCTTACACTAACTAGACAAAGCACTGTTTTTCAGAGTTAAAGTTATTTAGGTCAGCTCCTTTCTTCCCAGCCCCCTTCAGTGAGATTATGTCTTAATTTGTAATAAAGTTAGATTCATCTGCCCAGAGTTTATATTCCATCATGGGTTCCCACAACATCCTGGCTTTTAAAAATTTTACCTGCAGGGCTTCCCTGGTGGTGCAGTGCTTGAGAGTCCGCCTGCCGATGCAGGAGACGCAGGTTCGTGCCCCGTTTTGGGAAGATCCCACATGCCGCGGAGCGGCTGGGCCCGTGAGCCATGGCCACTGAGCCTGCGCGTCCGGAGCCTGTGCTCCGCAAATGGGAGAGGCCACAACAGTGAGAGGCCCGCATAACGCAAGGAAAAAAAAAAAAAAAAAAAAAAAAAATTTTACCTGCAGTAAAGTCACTCTTTTTAGTATACAGTTCTGTGGTTTTGACAAATGCACAGGGTCATGTATCCACCACCACAGAACTATATAGAACGATTCTATCACCCTAAAGCTTCCCGTGTCCCCACTGTAGTCAGCCTATCCCTCCACCTAATCCCTGGCAACCATGAATCTGTTTTTTGTCCCTATAGTTTTTCCAGAATGTCACATGAATGAAATCAAATAATATGTAGGCCTTGAGTCTTGCTTCTTTCCCTTAGCAAAATGCATTTAAGATTAATCCACACTGTTATATGAATCAACAAGCAGATCTTAAGGACATTATACATCTGCTTTAATAATGGTATTTTACCTATCTAAAATGTACTCCTAATGGGCAGTTTTGCATCAGGTTGAGAATTGTCTGTGGTGTGAATTTTCCAGCCTTGTAACTATGGCCCGTAGTTTTAAACAAACAAAAATCCATTCCACATACTCCTTTGACTGTGTTCTAGCAGCAATTTCACGGATGACATTCTCACCCAGAGGCAGAATATGAATTCAAATAGCAGTGTTGTAACAGACCTGCAATTAAAACTGGACTTTGAAAATGCAATGGCAGTTTAGGATATCAAGTGGCATGGTACTCAATGAATACAAAGTATGTTTTAGAGACACTGAAATTGTGGCAAAAGATATTTTAAAAGAATATACAAGTATAGGCACTAATAAAATAACTGGAACTTTAATGTCTGCTATTTAGTATTTGAGATTTCTTTCCAGGCAAATAAATTGAATAACTGAGTAATAATTTTTTTCTTAGTTAACTGAGCCCCTTATAAAGTTATTTATTAACGTTTCTAGAGAAAGTCATGGCTCCTAATCTGAACATATTATCTGCTCATATCGTTGGTCAAATTGCTCAGCCAAAAAAAAGAAATGAACCCATCCATGGCTATCTGATGCAAGGGTCTAGAAACATCTTTAAGTGGTACTTTTAAAAACATAAATCATGTGATGTTTCTCTTAAGAACTGTGTTTTGATAATGCCAGGGTAGGAAGCCTTTCAACGTGTTATCTCATTATTATTTCCCCATAGAATTAGCTTAAGGGGTTAGCATTCAAGAGGTCTAGGAAACTAAGTAAAACTTACTTGATTTAGTTGTATTTTCAGGTTAATCCCATTAAAAAATTATCCTTGCATTACAGGTAATTTCTCAGCATACCCGGGAGCTGCTGGGAATTGAAGAGCCATTATTCACACGCTCCATCAGCCTTCCCTACAGGGACAATATTGGCTTATTTTTAGAGCAAAAATGTCGTAGTGGAGTTAAATCTGATTCCTTGACCTTGTCTGAATTTGTGCAAGCAGTGGGATTACAGGATTATGCTCCAGAAATAACCACCCCTGAAGAGGATGCAGCATTATATTCCATTGAACCATAGGGCAAAATTAATTGAAAATTAAATTTAATTGAAAATTAAATTTAATTTGAAAAATTAATTTTCAAATTTAATTTGAAAATCAAATTAAATCATGTGGGGGAAGAGGTGCGGTATTTCTGCATTTTCTTTTTCTCTTCATTCAGGATCAGAGTTAGAACTGCTGGCTCCATTCCTAGTTCTGCCACTGACTCACAGCACCTTCCCTTTATCTGTGTGTCAATTTAGTCCCTTGTTAAAACAAAGGTAGCAATATTTCTCTTTCTGGGTAATTGTAAGAATTCCTGATAAATTCTAGTACTTCATCTGGCAGTAGGAACATGATGGAGAAACAGACTAAAAGGAAAATCACCTGCCAACCCAGATAATCCTCTTCATAAGTGCAGACAAGGAAACCGTTTTATTATTGAATCAGCATAAAATCAGACTGTGACGCACATTACAGGCAGGCCACTAAAGAGACTGCCAAGACAAGGAAATCTCACCCTTCTATATAGCCAGGCAGATATAATCCATTATTTACATGTTAACTGTCTGTATCCAAAGGAAAAATAAAAGTTCTCATATCTTTGTGACAAACAGAAAGTTACTACCTGGAGCCAAGCACTTAGGCTAAACCCCCAGAGTCAGGGAGACAAAGTGCCATCCTTCTAAATGCTCACATTTCAAAGAGGTGGCTCCAAGGGCCCCCTCCCCCAAAATACAGTCCTGGGATGTAAAACTGGCAGAAAGTTTATTCACCTTTTTAGAAGATTAGCATACATCTCAAAAACAGAGAAAAAGGATTTATATTACAAGTTTTTAAAAGGAAATGTGTTATGCTGTTGGTGGGAATGTAAATTGATACAGCCACTATGGAGAACAGGACGGAGCTTCCTTAAAAAACTACAAATAGAACTACCATACGACCCAGCAATCCCACTACTGGGCATACACCCTGAGAAAACCATAATTCAAAAAGAGTCATGTACTGAAATGTTCACTGCAGCTCTATTTACAATAGCCAGGACATGGAAGCAACATAAGTATCCATCAACAGATGAATGGATAAAGAAGATGTGGCACATATATACAATGGAATATTACTCAGCCATAAAAAAAAACGAAATTGAGTTATTTGTAGTGAGGTGGATGGACCTAGAGTCTGTCATACAGAGTGAAGTAAGTCAGAAAGAGAAAAACAAATACCGTATGCTAACACATATATATGGACTCTAAAACAAAAAAAAAAGGTCATGAAGAACCTAGGGGTAAGACAGGAATAAAGACACAGACCTACTAGAGCATGGACTTGAGGATATGGGGAAGGGAAAGGGGAAGCTGTGACAAAGTGAGAGAGTGGCATGGACATATATACACTACCACACGTAAAATAGATAGCTAGTGGGAAGCAGCCGCATAGCACAGGGAGATCAGCTCGGTGCTTTGTGACCGCCTGGAGGGGTGGGATAGGGAGGGTGGGAGCGAGAAGCAAGAGGGAGGAGATATGGGTATATATGTATATGTATAGCTGATTCACTTTGTTATAAAGCGGAAACTAACACACCATTGTAAAGCAATTATACTCCAATAAACATGTTAAACAAATTTAAAAAATAAAAGGAAATGTGTTATGAAAAAGGAGGGGGGATGTTCTCATTCCTTTCTGGCATCAGAGAACAAAATTTTTAAAATATTTTTTTAGATTTGTATTTACCTGTTAAAACAACGTGGCTTATAGAAGTATATCATTGACCATGGACTAGGGTCTGGGGTTTGTTTACAAGGCGTTTTATGTGGTAGCTCCAGACTTTTATAAAATGAAATTCAGACCAGAGTCTACCTGTGACTGGACTGTTCAAAAGAAATTAAAAATACTTCTTGTTGCTTGAATGACTCCGATTGCACTCTAGTTTTATAGACTAACTTCTCTTTCTCTTCCCAGCCAGTAATCCCAGTAATTTTAGGATTACTTCTTAATCCTAAGAACCACTGTAGAGCTACCATAATCCAGAAGGGCAATGATGTACCCTATCCAGTTCCTTACATCTGAATGAATAGTCAAAGGAATCCATTTCTTTTCCTACTGAGAGAAAGAACAGTGCCTCAAATTAGCATTCATGTCATGTGTTAATGTTTGATGATGAACCTAATTTTTTCCCAAGTGGACTAGCAAAATTTTATCTTGTACCATTTAACACCGTACCATTGAGTCTGCTTCGCTCACAAGCATGCAAAAAAGAAAAATGTAAATGATTAACCTAAGACCATGGTGATTTACATGTAGAGTGAATGGTTTTGTTCCAAAGCACTTTAGCATTTGGCAAACAATAGTTCTGTTCAGTGACAGAGTATAGTCAGCGCCATGCTTTCTCAACTTTATGGTTACTGCTTTGTTTTCTACTCTATTATAATTGACATAAAGTAATTGCAAAACGTAAAGGAAATAAATTTGAACTGTAGGAATAAAATCTATATTTTGTAGAATTATTTTTAGCCATTTAAATAAGATAGTACCAGAACAGTCATGTTTAGCTGAAATAAGCCTAAAATGAGTCATAATTCAATTAAGATTGTTTACCACACATTTTATTTTTCTACTCAAAGTGTGAGACCATCAAGGTGTATCATTTATCAGCTACATACTGCTACAGGGAAAGAATGTAACTACATACTGTAGCTACATATTGTAGGAAAAGAATGCTACAGAAGAAGTATGTAACCATTTAATAATGACAATATAACTTCTTGAATTTAGCTTTTAGACAAGAGATCATTTGAATTAACTGAATTGATAATTAGCTGCTGGGGAAGCAGCTTACTTAAGTGTGTCAGGTTATATGGTTTCATTCAGTTGCTTCCAAAAGCCAGACACACCCAGATATACTGATGTAAAGAACCTCTTGTTTTATTCTAGATTTTAAAGAGCCATCAGTACAATTTTCTAATTCCTTACTGCCTAACATATGGCAAACACCATACAGTCACATGACTTCCACTGTCAATTATGATAATCAGGGCATTACCACTGTAGAGGGAGAAAAAAATCCTGATTCCTGAGGTCTCTTCTCTTATTGGGATGAAAAACCCGTGGAAACCTCTGGCTCTTGTTCTTTGGTTAGGGTGATGCCAAATGAATCACAGTATAGATGGGTAAGGTTGTCCTGAAATGTAGTGCTGTGTGAGAGATACTGGCTAAAGGGAGTTTCCTTGAGTTGCACAGCAGTCAGATCAAACCAGGGGAAAGGCCTGGGGTAGGGAAAAAAATAGTGTTACTTTTTATGTCTGTTTAATACATCTGATTTTGCTGTTAAACATTTCCTTTAAAGAACGTTCTCCTCCATTTGGAAATAAGGTTCTTCACTTTCTATATCAAACTAATTAAAATTCTTAGTTAAATTAAAATTTTAATTTAATTTAATTTAAATTAATTAAAATTTAATGGGTCTATTCAACACATGGATTTAATTGTACTTATGAGTTTTCACACTTACAATTCTCTAAGTTCATTTGGGGAGGAATTCATAATTAGAGAATGATTATGACAATAAAATCAATATCCTTTTCAGTATACTTTCCTTGAATTTAGAAAGAAAATAAATAAGAGGATCATGGACATTAGGAATGGAAGAGCCCTCATTTCTTTTACAATATCCTCTTCAAAAAAAAAAAAGATACCCTCTTCAACTGTATAGGGAAAG